TATATATATATATATATATATATATAATCCAGAAGTTGAATTGTTCGAAAAGGCAGGTAGAAGGGTGAAAACGATATTCAGTGAACAGGATGATATCTATTTACTGAAAAAAATCATACGTCAAAACACTCTAGTGGACTTCAGGAAGTGAAATTAACGCAACTCAGCAAATATTGCTGAAATGTTCGATTATTTTGATCTTCTTAACGGGTTCCTCTCAGACTGATGCACCTACCGAGCAATGTCTTGCTAAAAGGTATTACGAGTGAACGTGTGCGTCAGCGTGTTTATGGTCTTCGGCACGTTTCATTTGATACAACTCTCTAAAAAGACTTCAATGTAAACATAATCTGGACGCATGAGCATGCTAACATATTATTCTATGGAACCATTCAGAATGGTGAATGTCAACATAAGCATTATTTACTAGGCTGTCCGGGTGACGCCGCGTCCATGACGAAGGTGCCGACGATTCGGTCGCCATTCTGCGACCTTCCTCGGGGCGTAATTGCTGACTGACTCCGGCCGCGGAAGCCTACGCTCTCAGTCAACATAAGCGATTACAACATTAGACGAAGCCGTGATTGTTCCCAAACTCCAAGCAATCACGTTTACGTCAACATCATTTAAGACCAACATATTACCGTGTAGCCCAATAACAGGTAACGAGAAAATTTAGTGTTTTCGCTAGACAAACGTCAATGCAGTTTGTAAAATCATAAATTGCACGACCTAACAATCGCTGATGAAACATTCGATAGAATCACCAGTTGCGTCCGCGGAATAAAAATGAGTTTCGTTTTACCCGTCCGTACCGCTCGTCTTGTGTTTTTCTGTATCCTGATGACACCCACAGACAATCAAGATTTGCTCGTTCGGGGTTTCGGCGTCTCGTGTGCTCTCACTGGTCACATGACTGTGCCTCCTACACAGACTCATCCGTCGCTCGCTTTTTTAAGGTTCATGTGTGGGTGCATTGGGAGAGGGCGTGGCCTTATCTGCCCTGTAAAGGACTATCCGAAACTAGGAACTTCTATCCCGAACACAACGAGGAGCTTGATAATTGAATTCGGGACAGTTTTACCTTTGTGGATGTTTGTTAGGACAAGACGAATGAAACGGGCAAAACTATAACGTATAACGAGTAGGTTTGGACCCGTTGCGATCGCGATTACACGTTTAATCCATATGAAGGAAGTTCTGGCGCCGGCCCCTAAGCTCAAGATTGCTGGTGTGCAAGTGGTGTGCAAGTGGTGTGCAAGTGGTGTGCAAGTGGTGTGCAAGTGGTGTGCAAGCTGCGGTGCAAGCTGGTGTGCAAGATCCAGTGACGAATCCAGGGTGCGGCATGGCACCATTCCGCGCTCCAAATTTATCTTTTGCATTTTTTAAAAATTTTACTCAGTTTATTTGAAACATTTTCCATATACCATCGCAGCACTTGTCAAAAGGAGCATTTCCAATATTAATCTACTTGTTTTTTATAAGCTAACAAACTTTTTTGAAATATTTGTTATTTAAAAAACTGGGAGAACCCAAATTGAAATTTTCTCCTCCCTGTCAAACCAGCTGGTTCCGCCAGTGTTTTCATGAGAAAATCTCTCACCCTAAGGTCCTAGGGTTCGAGTCCTGTCCATGACAGGACTTTTGACACTAGCTACATTCCTAGGTCGAATTCAGCCGCTGTCTAGAGGAGAACTCTAGCGGTCGGCTACTCAGATCTATAGTTTTCCGTGCTTTCTGCGATAAACACTTGGCGAATGCCTAAATAATACCCTAACGAGTCACGTACCACGCGCGATCTTTCCTTTCCCTTCCTTATCCTATCCTCACTCCTTACTTACATACAGTTACATGCACTACAGTTCCATGCACGCATAGAGACCAGTCGGGAACTTAGCACTTGTCCTGGTTGCGGCGGCGCCCCGCTGGCGGGAGATGGGTATGTCGGCGCCGGATCTCGAAATCCAACGGGAGATCACTGCCACCTCCCGCGATCAACATGCACTGCCCTTGCGGGACTAGTGGCCTTAGCTGTTAACGCATCGGCAATCATTAATCAATCAATCAATTAATTGACGAGTCAATCAATGAATTTATTTACAAACTGTGATCCTTTCGAAGATACAGTTTGGAATTCGCGCTTGTAAATTACACCAAAAACCTTAAATCACCATTAACCAACTTTTTAAACGGCCGAAAATTAATCTAAATTGCACTCTATAAGCTCTACTATTTCAATAGGATAAATTAATCTATTACTTTTCCCTTCTCTTAATGAGCATTCTGCCTTCGCAGACACTGAAGCACGCGGTAGCTGCGGCTCTATCTGAGCCTGCGGCGGAATCCATCATACCATCCGACCTGCACACGGCGAACTCCGGCAGCGACCAGGCAGCGGCGGCGGCGGCGGCGGCCACCGAGTGAACCCGTGGCCTTCCACAGCCGCTCCGAAGCCAAAACCCTTCCACCCGTGCCACCATTCGCGTCCCGCAGCTCCGAAATCTCGGAGGACGTGCGACCCTGGCGGTTGCCACCGCAACTGTGCGAACACCGAGCCACTCGCGATGAACTGAAGGCAATGAAATCTTGGTACTGATTCGAGTTCCTACGTGTGCAAGAAAAGATCGAACACGCTTCATTGAAAATGTGTTTTACTTGAGCAAGCAGGAGATGTGCCTATTGTGAAAATGTCTTTGTTTTTTGTTGTGTTTGTAGCGTTTTTTACGTTCTAATTATTAATTAAAAATTTATTACTGTTCATCAGTGATTAGTGTTAACTTTATTTCCAAAATAATTATTACATTCCGTTTAATGGAATATATCCTCAAGCGAAAATGTTATCCCGTTACAAAGATATCCCGATAAGGTTTGCTTTTCAAATACGGAATTCAATCAAGATATTTGTTTGGATTACCTGACACCAAAAACTTCTTATAACTGTTGCTTTTAAAGTCGAGAAGCCGACAGCATCGCACAACCTTCTCCAAACATTATTAGGCTACATTTTTTCTGTTTTCTGAATTTTTAATATTACGTTTTACATATAAAACGTAATGTATATTTACATATCAATGTAATGTAGATTTGCATAATTTTCTTTGCTTCATTTCGAGATATACTTACCTAACAAAATAGAATTTGGGATACTGACGCATTTTCTTTCGTTTATAAACTCCTAAGTCGTATAATCATTTCTCCAACAACGCTTTTCCTACAATGCAAGCAGTTACATGTATCACAAAATGCTCCTTTAAATTATTTATATTAGTCGATTAATAAAGAGGTTTAAAATGATGCAATATTGGCAGGGAAGAGTGAAAGCGCTTTCAGTCTTGTACATAATACAGAAAAATCAGTGAATATGAAATATGTATTTTAATTAATGGATTGACTTTGATTGTGTAATGTTGACTAGTGAAAATTAGGAAATCAGTGACTTATGTAAAGTTGTACAACTCAGACTACCAACTACCACAGTCACCTGTAATTTAATTTGGGTGACGACGTGGAAAACTTCCCTGCGTTTCGCGGGTGGCCTTTGACTACGGATGATTAGGTTAGTAATAATAATAATAATAATAATAATAATAATAATAATAATAATAATAATAATATAGGCAGATACAATAAACTGATAAGTAGGCGAACAATTTAAATCAACATTCTTTTAAATAATCAACCAACAGTAGAATGGTAGCACCATATTGTATATGCTTTCTGTGTATCACTCCTTATTTCTCAATTCATTTTGGGGTCAGAATACATAATAAATACATCATTGGCTGCCAACGTGTGCACCCAGACCGAACCGAGCAAGAAAGAAGTGGGAAAAGTGGGAAGGAGGAGACAAATACAGCTTCCTTCAAATTCTTCGGTGAACACTAATTTGTTAGGCAACAGAGATGAGCCTGTGTCCGACAGATTAGATAGATAGATTTATTAAAGTTCGCTTTGAGCTAATGCTCGGTGGCAAACATGATAACAGTTAGAATTAGAATTACAAAACAATTTTAACATTTACAATTAGGTTTACTATTAGAATTAGGGGTCGATATCATAGTTCCAATTTTATTTCTACGCAACTCTTTAAATGCAATTCAGTTTACATAAACACTTCACTACACTCCGTTCCCCTCCACTACACTACACTTCACTTCACTGTATAAGGACATGACGATAATAATTTAACAAATAACAATATAAGAAATAATAATACTTAAAAATTTCCCTTAAAAGCTAATTGACAGTAAGTTAACAATGATGATAATAATATAATAATAATAATAAAAATAATAATAAATATAAATGCTCTCAAGACAGTATATTTGAGCTAAATCTAGATGAATGAAGCATTATTTTTATAATTTGGCTAACATTAGAAGAAGAGCCTCTAGTGCTTCTGCAGGTAGTTTGTTCCAAGCTCTACTATAGTGTATTCAAAAGAACTTGCCTACATTCCAGTTCTTTGCTTTCTACATTGTATTTTCCAAGGAATGGTCTCCTCTGCTTTTATAATCTGATTCTGTAATCTTTTACCGTTATCTGCCCATGCTGTGTCCCCTCTGTATGTCTTATACATTACGCATAAACGCGCCGGTTCCCTTCTCTTGATAAGGACTCCCATTCTTCTCGTTCGTCACCAACGCACCCGTGATTTACAAACTTTGAGGCCCGTTTTTGAATTTTATCTAACGCTTCGATTTGCCCTTTTCTGTACAGGTTCCAGTATGCCGCTCCGTATTCTAAAGTTGAACGAACAAGTGTAGTATATGCTAGGATCGGGCATTTGGACTACTATTTTTTAGAATACGCATTAGGGTACGTTTATGTTGGAGCTGCCGATAAACGATGAAAGCAGCGCTGCGAGCCAAGCAAACGAGAACGTCGCCATGTAATCAATGGAGGTGTTCATGTCGGCAGCGCGCTGCTCACGGGATCAGCGCTGCGACCAGCGATAAGAGCGGCGAAAACCCTTGGTTTTTCGCTGCTAGTATCGCTGGTCCGCGCTGTTCACAGCTGACACACTTCAGGTGTTGTAAGTGTCGAATAAAATGATTGCTGAAGGAATTTATCATTTTGTGTTTTTGTTAGGAGTCAAATGTGGACGAAAGGAACATACATCACCGCAAAATGTTCGTTTTAAGACAAATTGTGGGCTGCCCTAAATTAGTACAACACGTAAGTTTTAGAGGTTATGTTACATTCGTTTTTCAATGAACAACAAAAATACAAATAATTATGGTATGTCTGTCATGTTTATTGTTTTGTGGGAAAACTAAATGTTAACTAAATAGAGCACATCATCATCTTGAAGTGATAATGTATTATTCAGAGTCATTTTTGTGTAATGTAAATGCTCAGAAGGTATCCCCATTATTTTGTATGCATAACCATCCACTCCATCTGTTAATGAATTTGTAATTTGCAACCACAACACCTTATAAAACTTGAAAAGAATTTCTTGTAGTTGTGAGACATTCACTCAGATTGATTGGGATGATTTATTCTTATGTGCCACCTTTCTTATCCATGCCACCTTCACAATGTGGGTGCAGTCCAAGGAAGCATAATTTATAACAGAAGTTGTAAAATGAATTTACTTTTTAAATGTTATTAAACAATTGTGGATGTTTTATCAGTGAATAAATTGAAGAACAATAAAAGAAAATGAGATGCCATAAACAGATTTTTTTAACTAGAAACTTTATTGCAAGATAATTATTACATTATTGGTTTTAATAGTAGAAAAATAATATCACATTTCACAACAACATTTGAATTACACGTTTGTAATTAAATCAAAATTGAAGTGATTGGTATCAGATAGTCCCATGCCACTATTTGGTAAAATATTGAGGTGTTACACCTATAGAACCCTCAGCCTTCCAGTTTATTACTGTTTAAGATTTAAGAAACATTTTACAATAAAACTAGCTTACCAATTACCTTTATCACTTCCCTGATAATCTGTTTTCTTTGAAATTTAGGTCAGTTTTCTACTTAAGAACTCAAAATTATTAATTTACAATGGTTTTTGAAAACACACAATCATTTCAAGAAGTCTTCCATGAAAATCATTTTTTTAAATCATTTCATAAAATACTTAAAAAACAATCGGGAGAGAGTGTTATGTTGTTCAGTCAACATTACTGAGGACACCTAAAAAATTAATCTTTTGGAAAATGATTTTTGAACATTTGATGGTTTTTGTATCTGTAGTATTCAACTTTATATTCAGTAAATTAACACCAACATATCACCACAATATAGGCTCTTTACAAGCACAATAGGAAACATAACTGAGAATTCAATAAGATTGATAAATTAACACCAAAATTTATGTCTAGACAATATTAAAATGTGAAGAATTCTTTCTTATTTTTAAAGATAGTAATAATTTTAAGTACACTTTTTAAATTTTTCTTTTTATTTAACTCCATGATGTATATTGCATAACATACAATTATTTATATCACAGAAGAAACAAAAATCTTCAAATAATTATTTTCTTTAAATAAAAAATGATACTTCCCCTTCTAATACTGAGAATGTACCAAACTGAAAACTGTGTTAACAGATGAAAATTTGACAGACTAATGAGACTTTGAAAAATAGATACTGACAGAATAATAGAGCACTGCACATATTTGAAATATTCTGTACATAGTCACTGTTTTGGCACAATTTCACACTTGTCTTCACTGTTTTTATTTTTCAAATAATTGGAAGATATCTTAATTTTGGGAGATCCACATAGGCCTATAGTACACATTAGATTTCCTTCCTCCATCAAGACGCAACTCCATAATTATTTCTTAAGCCTCATTCACATGCTTCCAAATTTCTTTCATCAAGAGGCTAGGCTTCTCCCTGTAAAAAATAAAGGAAATGGACATTGAGTTTTTCAAATGTTAAATTTCATAAAGTTAGATTGTATAATCATTTTGTATTGATATAATAAATATTTGCAAAATTCACATTATCTAAAATAATTTTAAAGAAAAAATTAAGTACTGATTCAATTACTGATGTTATAGTGATTATTTATTCTTATGACATGTTCAAAGCAAACCAACTTAATAATTATTGTAGACAAGGCAGCTTACCTCTGTAAATATCGCCAACAGCCAGGATATCAAACTGAGGCAATTCTTTCTTCTCTTCGTGAATATTTTTAACTTCTCTCACTTTCTACAATTCTCCTCCTTAGCAACATTTCATTGAAGGGCTTTCCGTCAAATCACGACGCAATCGATGAAATGCCAAGCAAAATATAAATAGAATACATTTCCAAAAGCAAACACACATTGAATTCACTTACAGAACAAAAAAGGCGAAACAAGTACGCGCTAGCACCGACTGCTCTCGTGGGCTCCACACAGCCACACACAGCTGTTTGCCGCATGTTGCAGGGGGAATTGAGTAAGGTTGACCTCTCTCTCTTTGTTAATCATGCCAATATCCAGCGAAAAAAGAACCTATGGACATCGTAGTATGTAATGCTTCCATTGCGTAGGGAATGAAGTTTAGGTTGACTCCTACTGCGGTTCAACTTAAATCTTAACCAAAAGTCCCTAAGCCAATTAAGGAAGTATGGTGGGTGATTTACACAAGGTTGGTATGGAAGGGACGAGTTAGTTTGGCCGAATGTCTGTAGATGTCTCTGGCAAATTCAGAGCGCGCTGCTTCGCGATGCTCCGACATGAACACATCAGCGCTGCAATTTCGCACAGCAACTCTCTCTTCGCTTCATCGTTTTATCGCCGCTCCAACATAAACGTACCTTACAAAGTACAGCGCTCTCCA